GGGGGGGGGGGGGGGGGGGGGGGGGGGGGGGGGGGGGGGGGGGGGGGGGGGGGCGAAGAAGCTGGTCCCCTCCCGCATAGAGCTGCACACGCAAAAGGGCCAAGCAGCAGAGTAACACATAGTCCCTGATGCGAATGATCGCCTAGCCTCCGCCAGACACGAGGAGCCCCCGACAGAGTACGCGACAACACAGCGACGCCGGGCGGGTGGGGGACATCTCCCCGGAGAGCCACATCGGAGAGTGGCCGAGGGGGCAAGCGAAAACAAACGCGCGAGCACAAACTAGAGTCCCGCCCAAACTAGTTGCCGGTGTGGCCGGTGGCGGGCTGTGTGGCTGGGGCCCAGCCTCGCCAGACCCGGGGTGTGGTTGCCTCCCGCCGAATAATCCACTTGTATATAAAAAGGTTATATTACTCGGTGCCCCTCCCCCCTTTCCCGCGAGCGGTTGGCTCTCTGTCGTTGTTGGTTTTCTCTCGGGAACCGGAGAAAGAGCGGATCCTTGCGGCCGACAAGGTGGTCCGTGGCTGCCGCGCATAAACGAGTGCACGTCGCACATACCCCCCCGGCCCTCCGCCTCTAATATAGGGGTGTCGCATTTTTCTTTGTTGCCCATTGCGACGCACCCCCCCCCCCCTGCACCTTCTCGGGTGCTTGAATCGACTTCCCAGATTCGTGGGTCTGGCAAAAGGCCCACCGCCTCCGGGACTTCCGATGCTCTTGTCTCGTTCCGTGCTTGGCTCTCCCCATGTCTGCTGGTATGTGGGCCCCGACTGGCGACGCGGCAGGGCGGTCCGGGCTCGCCCCCCCCCCCCCCCCCCCCGCCCCCCCGCTCTCCCTACCGGGCTGACCTGCTACCACGCCCAGGGGCGCGGCCCAGTCAGGATCCCGGGCAAGAACATAAACCGGCATTCGCAAGAATCACATGCGCGGATCACACCGCGTGGAATCACACCCGCGCGTAGCTATTCCTGAATATTCCCCGGGCTGGGAATTTGCGGAACGCGATGGGCTCTTTTTTCGAGCTCATTTGTCCACGCCCCTCTCTGCGGACAGTCAGAGGTCACCATAATGCGCTCTCTTTCTTCCCTCCTCTCTCGTCGTCCCCCTTCGCAGTTCCTCTGCCCCGAAGCGTGGTTACCTCCGGGGAATCTATTTTCGCCAAAAGGGGTGAAAGCGCGAGGTGGAGCTATTTGGCGTTCAGGCGACGCGTGACTGTTGGGCCGAGGGCGGGGGAGCCACCAGCGGCATCAGAGAGTCCGGGTCAAAGCCGAAAGTCGTCAAGTCCTTGCGGGTCTCCTCCGGGTCGGAAAGGGTCTGATTCAGGTAAAACTGGAGGAATCCCTCAAGTGGAAGACCGATGCTAGAAGCCCCACCGGCCGGCCGGCCGCGGGCCATCGGGACGCGGGAGCCAGAGCGACCAGCAGCAGGACCACTGCCGGTGGCCAGGGGTCGGCCATACTGCCGGAGGAGGGCCTGGCACATCATGGACAGATCGCGACTGGAAACTGGGGAGGTGCTGGCTCCGGCGGCAGTAGCCGTGCGGACGAGCGTCGAGAGCTCCATGACATCAAGGAAACCGTCGCGGTTGCGATCAAATCGCCGGAAAATGGCCTCCATGACGCCCTGCAGCATGGGAGAAAAGGTGGTCCCCGAAGCATCGAGCCAGGGAGCTGTCACAAACAATGTGTCAATGAGTGGGCTCGCACGTGTGGGGTGGGAGAGAGAGAGGCGAGACTTGGTGTATGTGCATATGTGCGTACCATCACCCGAGCCGGGTCGCGAGCAACGGTAAAGGCGGTTGCGTGCCCGGAGCGACCGGATGTCATCCACCAGGGCACTGCCCATGGCAGGAGGCGTAGCGTTAGAGCTGGAGGCAGCCATTCCGGTGGTGGGCTCTTCATCCTCAAGCAGCCCAACCGCCTCAGCGACAGCCAGGGCGATACCGATGATCGCCTCGGCCGAGTCGTAGGCGGTGGCCATAAAGCAGATGTATGCGAGTCCATAGAGGGCAGGAATGTGATTCGGGTAGAGATCTAGTCATGCGTGGGTGCGTATGAGAGAGAGAGAGAGGGAGGGAGGGAGGGAGGGGAGGGAGAACGTGTGAGCGTCAGTGTGAAGGGACACCATGGATTTTTGGTTCATTGAGGGGGTCAGGGACGCGATATCTCCAGGAGGTCACGAACCAATGATGTGTAGGAGGTTCTCCGCGGCGGGCACGAGCTTTTGAATGCCTGCAGGAGAGCCAGCCTCGGCAGGATCGGCATCATCATCGGCCACGCTGGTGTGAAATTGGCGTGAGTTGTCGGGAAGAAGGTGCAAACTACCTGAAAGAGCGGATGACGAGGGACCGGTCGACAGAGGAAGGCACACGTACGCTTCAAGCAGGGTTTGCGTGGCATTGAAAAGGTCGCAAACCTCCTGGTCGTAATTCCACCAGATCTGCGGGAGCTTGTCCTCCGGGAGCATGGCCCCATCGTGATCGACCTCCTCCCGCAGGTGTTGGGTGTATTGTTGGAAGGCCCGCCGGCGGCGACCGGCCTCGTCAGTCACACGGCGGCGATACTCCTCAAGCCAAGAGGCCGGCTCCGGTCGCGGATTGACTGGGATCGGCGGATCTGGAGACGAGATGAATCGCGCATGGGTCAGTATGAAGGGAGGGAGGGGAGGGGGGGGGGGGGCGGATAGAAGGCGGAGACGGGCATCACCACTTGGCGGGGCTCAACATACCAAGGTTACGCGAGGCCTCATCAAGCATCTCGAGCTCATCCTCGTCGCTGGAGCTGTGGTCATCATCGTCCTCGTCGTCCTCGCTATCCTCGTCGCTCTCGGCCATGTCCGAGGGGTCGGGATGGGCGTTTCCGGCAGCATCCCCAGTGGCATCATCGGCCAGGGAGATGGTTGCCGCGGCCGAGGTCACATCGGCCATGTCCTGGTCTTCATCCTGAGCCGGGTCCGGGAGGCCGGAGCGCAGGATGGACACCAGCTCGGACACGCTGCCAAAGGTCCCGTGGCAGATTTGGCGCCAGATTTCATTGGAGACAGACATCTGCTCCGGAGACAGGGGAGGCAGCGACGAGGTGTCCAGGCGAGCGACCTCTTCGGTAGATCCGGCAAAGATGAACCGGTGCATCTCGCGGCTGGTCTGCGCGTGGTGGGGAGTCAGACATGATCCGGGACGGGGCTTGGCAGCGGCACGAAGCCAGTACAAGGTCACGTACCTTGGAGAGAGCCAGAATATCGGCCACCGGGTCCTCCAGGTGCGAGATGATCGCCGCCCAGGCGCCGGTTGGCAGGAGGGTGAGAGGGTGCATGGCGCGGCAGGGAGGGGGGGGGGGGGGGGGTGCAAGTGTGTGTGTGTGTGCGTGTGTGAGGAGAGGAGTGCATATTGAGGAGAGGCTGGCAGTGGCCTCGCGTCGGGCTCGCTCTTCTGCCTCTCCGCGCCCCTCGTCGGTTCCTGCCGGCTTCCAGGGCGTGGGTGGGGGTCGCCCCCTCCCCCGGCCAGCCGCCTGGGCATGCAGTGTGTGTGCGTGCGCGAAAAAGAGGGAGGAAAGAAGAGCCGCATGTGCCGCGTGCGGGGGCAGATCGCGCATGGCCCGATCTGCCAACTCAAGGCTATTCTGAGGGCGGCAAAAGATATCGCGCCTGGTGGGGAATAAGCCCCCAAAGTTAATCCCACCTTCGTGGTTGCCGAACGAAGGATCTTTTTTTAACGTACCTACGACTTCCACTCGGTGATCAACAAGGCCTGGTGGACGGGAGTTAGTACACACATAGCACTCCGTTGTCTGCTAACACCCGCGTCACTCTATCCAGGGTGCCGGGTCGCATATTTTTGGTGGTTGGGAGTAGACTCGTCTACTCCCGCTTCCCCTTTCCATTTTAATAATTGATGTTGGTGTGAGGGGCACTTCCCGGGTGGGGACGAGAGAGCGCCTCGCTGGACGACCTCGGCTCGTGGGCCCTCCCATCCTTGTCTCGTCCGGGCGCCCCCCCCCTCTCGCCCGTTCATACATGCTCCTGCGCGTGAACTGCCGGGAGGGGTGCATCCTGGCCGGGGTGTTTGGACCACATGGCCTGATCACATGGACCATATGCCTTTTGCCAGCGTGCCCCCTTTTTCCAGGGGGATGAGCCCCCAAGCATGCGGGCCTTCTTGGGGAGAAATTGTGCGCATGCGCTTCCAAGTCGGGGCGGTGCTCTGCGCAGAGGCGCGCATGCGTTCTCGCGTTCCGGAGCTCTTCGATCGTCGGTGCGAGGGCAGGCAGGGCGCCGTCATGTGCACGCCCCGAGGCAAGGGCGAGGTGCCCACTCTGATGCAGGGGCCCGGCGGATCCCTGGCCTCGGGCTTGGCCCCGCCGTTTTCTGCTGTTTACGCACGTGCAGTTGCCCTGTGGGAGGCCGGGCATCCCCCCTCATTCCGGCGGCCTCCTGCTTTCTCCTTCTCAGCCTGGAAGAGGTCGGGGCCAGGGAGTCGGGGGCTCTCTGTCTCCCGGTCCCGGCTCCCAGCCCACGCCTCGTTGGTGCCCGCGCCCGGGTGGCTCTGTTGCATGTGTGCATGTTCAGCATGGCCCCCGAGCACCTGGTGCCATGCATGACTTGGCGCTTGCCAAGGGCGGCTGGAGACACGTTCCCCCCCCCCCCCTCCCCGGGACATCGTGTCTAGGGTGTTGCTGGAGTCCCAGCAGCAGATGATCCCAACCCAACTGCCCTCCCTTGTGGCTCTGGGCCTATTTTGTGGGGCGCGTGCCCCCTTTGCCGCTTTACCGGGGGCAGTTTTCGCCGGGACCTGCTTCCTGTTGTGCAGTCGGACATCCTGGGCCCCCCGCTCCTCGCTGGCCCGAACCACCCTAAGCGAGGGCCGCACCCCGCTGGCGATGGAGGTGGTCCTGTGCTCGGCCATCATGGCGCGCGATCTCTCCACTCGTCCGAATATTCCGCGCTGGGGGGGGGGGGGGGGCTGCACGGGGCCTCCTCCCGCTGCTGGGGACAGACACACCCACACCCACCCACCCACATCACCCACGGCGGGACGCCCTGATGAAAAAACACCAGTCTCAGGCCGGCAGGGGCCCCACCTGCTCTCCCCCTCCCCCCCCCCGGTCCCTCCCTCGACTGGTACCTCCCTTCCCTTCGGAGGCATCACGCTATTTCCCTTGCCCCTTTTGCGCACACATCACACATCCACCCCTTTCGCCCTCCTTCTCCCGCTCCTTTGCCCATCCTCACCCCCTCCATCCTCCATCCTCCTTGCTCCCATCTCCGTCAAATAGCAGCACCCACTCCCCCCCCCCCCCCCCCCCGCAATCAGGATGTCCAGCGTTTCCGCTCCCTCCAGCGTCCCCACCCCCACCAGTGTCGGGCTGAGCGCCACGCCGGAGTTCATGGCCATGGTGGCCCCGGCTAACTTCGTCAAGAACCTGGCTTGTGGCGGTACTGCCGGCATGGTGGGCGCCCTGGCCACCTTCCCCATCGACACGGCCAAGACCCGCATGCAGGCCGATGGTGGGCGCATGTACCGCAACATCCCGGACGCCCTTGTGAAGATCGCCCGTCAGACTGGCCTGCGCTCCCTCTACCGCGGCCTGCCGGTCCAGCTGATTGGTATCATCCCGGAGAAGGCCCTCAAGCTGTCGGTCAACGACTCGGCCCGCTACTTCCTCCGGTACGAATCCCCCCCACTTATCCTTGGCGTGGCACTCTGCCCAACCTTCTACTTTTGTCACAATGTGCTCTCTCTTTCCCCCTCTCGATCTCTTTCTTCTCTCTCCCCTCCCTCGACTTCCAGCACACACACACACACACACGCACTCCCACATACGCATGCAATCCTCACTCCCCCTGTCCACATGTACCCACACACGCGCTCGCGCGCAATCACCACAGCAATCGCGAGAACAACACCATTCACTGGAGCCGCGAGATGATTGCAGGCGCCACGGCCGGTTTCTGCCAGGTGGTCATCACCTCGCCGATGGAGATGTTCAAGATTCGTCTGCAGATGTCCGCGGCGGCGGCCGAGTCCGGTGCCGCTCCCCGGACCTCCGCCGTCAACATCATTCGCGATACCATCCGTCAGGGTGGCGTCTTCCGCGGTGCTGGCGCCACTCTCCTGCGTGATGTGACCTTCTCCCTGCTTTACTTCCCGATGTTCGCCAACCTCAAGGGCTGGATTGCTGGCCGTGACGCCAACCACCCGGTCTGGAGCACCATGCTCCGCGACCCGGGCCCTGGTGCGTGCCTCATTTGTCTCCTCCATGCGAATTGCGGCGATGCCCATATCGAGGACTCCCCTCTTGGCGTCTGGGCCTCCGGGTTTTCCATCTAACCTTTTCTCCCGCCCCTCTTCCTCCCCGCCTTTGGCCCGGTCTTCCTCCCTTCCTGCTCAGCTCCCGCTGGCCACACCGGCCCGCGTGACATCAACTCGCGTGTCAACTTCTTTGGCACTTTCATGGCTGGTCTGATTTCCGGCAGTGCTGCCGGCTGGCTTGTGACTCCTGCCGATGTCATCAAGACCCGTCTCCAGGTGTGTCCTCCTCTCCTTCTCCCCCCCTCCCCCTGCCTCCCCTAAAATTTCATCTGATCTCTCGCACCACCTCGCCATTTACTGATTACCGGTCCCATGTCCGTCCTCTACCTGCCCTATCACTCGGCTGTCTAGGCCGCTGGTGGTGTCGAGAAGTGGAAGAACATCCGCACCTGCGCCAAGATGACTCTCGCTCAGGAGGGCCCGACTGCTTTCTTCAAGGGTGCGTCCTTTTCTCAATACCCGATCACGCGCAGCCTGCCCCCCCCCCCACACACGATTACTCCTTTTCTCCTCCCTCCCCCCTCCCCCCCTGACCGTCGCTTACCTCTCCTCCCTTTTCTCGACCCAAACACACACACACACAACCATTACTTCTGCAGGCGCCACTGCTCGTGTCTTCCTGGTCGGCCCCCTCTTCGGTGTTGTCCTCATGACCTACGAGGTCCTTCCTCGCCTGCTCGGTCTCTAAATGCATCGGCCCTCTCCCATGCACCGTGTGGCAATCTCCCTCTGGCGCACTCGTGGAGACCCCGGCACAGGCCCTATCCACATGGCTCTATCTGGCATGTGCCGCTCCTTTTTTTGTGCCCAGGCATGCACCCGCGTACCAAGAGCGCACGGGGACTCGCCGGGCGGGCCGCGTGCCATCCCATCCTCCGCTCCCCCCCTTTTAGCCCCCTCCTGGCGGCGCCCCTTGTGCTTCGTTCCCCATTCTTTTACAGCCCTTGTCCTTTCAACGAAAATGTACCATATACAACACGTCATCCGCTGTTTCCACGTCCGGACATGTCTCCCTGCGCGCCAGTTATAGGCAGGGACGGACAGGCAGCTGAGCGAAACTCCTCTCCCCCCAAGAGTGGGGCAGCTTCCCAGCCATCTGCTTCCGGTGAGAGACGTGTGTGTGTGTGTGTGTGTGTGCATGCGTGCGCCTCAGCAGGCGCGCAGCCACATTTGCGCGCTACCAAAGGGGAGACTCTTCTTGCCGGCACATGGGGCTGGCAACCAACGGCGACCACATGCGGGCGATCGGTGGCATCTCCAGTGCCAACGATTACATCGCGCCGATCGGCCGCCCCTGATCGTCGGGCCTGGGGCTATCAAGGGTGGGTGGCCGGGCGGCGGGGGCGGGGGCTACCGGCGATCCCCCTCCCACGGGCCTGGCCGAGGGATCCCCAGAGGGGGGGGGGGGGGGGGGGGGGGGGGGGGGGGGGGGGGGGGGGGGGGGGGGGGCGGTTACACCGAGGTGCGGGGGAAGACACGGGCATGAGGGATTCGGGGCAAAAGGCCCGGATCTTGGCCCCTTCCCCTGTTCAATGAGATCTGGGATTTTTTTCCGCCCAGCCTCGGGCAATTGCTGCACCCTCGCGACAGGGGCATCCTCCATGCATCATCTCGCCACCACTTTCCTGATACCTCCCCCTCCCCCAGCTTCCCTGTCTTTCTTTCTCTTTCATTCCCTCCCTCCCCCCCCTCTTTCTCTCTCTCGTCCCTGTGTTCAGTTCTGCCCAAGACTTTGTTCCCGCCCACCGAGGTTACCCACGAGGGACTGTAAAGGTCTCGCGGGGCGATCCTCTCCAACCTCGCTCATCTTCCAAGGCTCGCATTTCCCGCTCTCTCTCCCCCCCCCCCCCACCCATCTCTCTTTCTGCTTCTCACCGGCACATGTCCTTTAGCTTTGGGATTGATTTGGCCCTGCTGCCGCCGCTGGTGCAGCTACTAGATCCAGTTGCCCCATCAGCTGGGGACTTCCGCCAGCAGGCAGCCTTCCGCCATGGCCTGCGAGTTGTCGGGCTCCTGGTGGACTCGGTGCGGGGTGTGCTGCAATTCCGTCAAGCGCAAGCACACGCTCGCCGGGTAGCACAGCAGCTGGCCACCCACATTCAGCCTCCTGCCGTGTGTGATCAGGCCACCGACGGCAATGTCCCCTTGACGGATGCCTGGTGGTCCTTCCACCTGTTCATGTCTTCGACTCCGGTGACCGGCGATCGAGTTGGTGCTTTTGACAAAAATGGCGGTGTCCTCCTCTCGCCAGAGCAAAGTCTGGCGTCCATGCTGCAGACGGCGCGCTCGGCCGCGCCACGGAGTGGCTCAGATCCCTCCTCTGGGAGTGCCGGCGGGGCCCCGGTTGACGCGGCGAGTTTCTTGGCCACCTTCGACCCTGCGCTTGTTGCTCCACCGCGCGGCCATTTCCCGGTCCAGTCGCCAGAGGAGGGCCTTGGTCGTCTGGCCGAGTGTCTGGTTAGCGCATTGGAGTTCCTCCTTGCCTCGTGCTGCGCCCGGCCCGGTCTCCCGTCAGACTCCGGTCCCGCGGTTGAGTACTTCCCCCCGCCGATGGATCACCTCGTCGGTGGAGCCATGCGAGGGCTCCTGGACTGTTGGTCCTGGGATCGCGCCCCGAGCGCCTTGGGACCACTGGGCTCTTCAACGGCCCGACAGCCTGGAGCCCGAGTCCGTGCACCTTCTTTGAGCAGTCCAGGTGCGTCCCCCTTTTCTCATGCCGCAAGCCCCTTCGCCGGGTAGATGTGCCTGCTCACCATGTGGGCTTTTGAAAACCGCCACAGCCCCCACCCGCGCGAGGCCCAGCAGCGATGAGGGGGTGGAATTGGCCACCGATCTTCCCGAACGCCTGGCATTCGATGGTGCTCGGCTGGCTGGCGAGGCCCGTGGCTGGCAGGACACCGGCTTCGCGGCTGGCACCGCCGCGGCCTTGGACACACACCACCGGTTTGTGACGGGGCCCCTGGCCGCGGTGGCCACTGCTTCCGGGCTCGAATGCGGCCAGGAGGCGCTCTTTTCGAATTTCACCCCGGAGATGGCTGAGCGCGGTGCCATTTACCTCTTGACCTGCCTGCCGCGCACGCTCCAGGATCTGCACCTCTTTTGCCGAGGCATGCCCATCGACTCCGAGGCCGAGGGGGACGATGCATCTAGAATGCCTTCGCGCCTCTACCGGCGCATGTATCGGGCTTTCCACGAGCCATTTGTGGCAGCCACGCGGGCCCACACATCCGGGAGCACCAGCGCTGCCGGCAGCCGCGGCACTGGAGGTGATGTCGGCAGTGCACGAGGTGATTGCCATGCTGCAGGCAACATGGCACACCTGGTGGCATCCCCCGGGTCAGCCTGGCCGGGTCCCGGGTCTCCAGGATTGGGCAGCTGGTCCAGCCTGCTGCAGTGGGAGATGAATGCTCAGCCTGTGGCGGATCCGCTGGCCCCGCTGGCTGAGAGATTGAATGCGCTGGCCCGTGAAGCGCAGGCACTGGCTGCGGCCCCGGGAGCACGTCTCGGTGCCGACATTTCCAACATGACTAGCCATGCTGGCAAGGATGACCAGCCGGCGGCCGGAGCGCCGGGGCTTTGGCCGACCCTGGCCAGTCAGCACCTGGCCTTGCATTTTGTGGATCTTTCAGCCTGGTGTGCGGCGCTTCCGGGAGCCGGGCCCGCTGCCCTGCCCGGTTGGATTTCCAGTGTGGATGGATCGGCCCTGAGCGGCATGGCTCGAGCCTTTCTGCATGGCTGCCCATCTGCCGGAGGTGCAGTTGGCTTGCATCCTGCCGAGTCTCTCGACTTGGCCGGGCGTCGCGCCGTGCGCCGGCTGTTGGGTAGCTTCACTCTCGGCAGCTCGGGCAGTCGCGGGGTCAGCGGGCGATCGACCCCCGGCAGCCGGCTCATCCTTTCCGAGAGCCTGCTCGAGGGGGCAGAGGACCCGCTGCTCGATCGGTTTTTGAATGACTGGCTCCGGCGGCGAGGTCTTGCCATGGAGGATGAGCTCGAGCCTCCGCGATTGGCTTTGGCGGCTCTCCCGCGGTTATTTCAGCTTGCCGCCGCGCATCAAGATATCCAGGTCCTCCCGAGCGGGCTCCCATTGGGCTCAAGCACCAAGGCCAGCACCACGGCCGAGGCCGACATGTCCTGGCATGTTGGCACGGCGCCGGCCCGCGGCACAAGCGGTCCATGGCTCCGGCGGATTTCAGCGAGGCTGGTCCTCGGGCCGGGGGTGCTCGAGGCCGCCGGGATGCCGACCAATCACAGCCGGTGGGCGCTGCTTCCGGCGTCCCCCCTTTGTGGAGCCTTTTTGGGCGGGACTGTGGCTGGCGGGCGCCTTGCCCGAGCATTGGCCGGGACCGATGCACCAAGGGCCCGAGATAAGGACGGGCTGGCTTTGACACTTGTTGGGTTTTTGGATGTCCTATCGGGCCGAGCACGCCTTTTGAGCATACTGTGCCCGCTGGTGCGCCTCTTCGCATTGGACTCCCTGTCCGAGCTTCAGGTCATCGATGCCGTGTCCAAGCCGGAGGGGGCCCATTCGCCAGGCACCGGGTTGGGCTTTTCGCCGGCCGACTTGGTTCTTGTGTCTGGATTCCTTGCAAGCACCAGCCGACTGGCGGTCATTCGGCTTGACCTTGCCACGGTGAACCTGGGGCAGCTGTCTCTCCTTCCCTCTGAGGCAGACTTCGCCGGTGGTTGTCGCCACTGTGGCGCTCCGTTGCCCCTGGCGCCGGGAAACCCGCCGGCCCCTCAATCACTGCTGTTTGTTCTAGCCCCCTGGCTTGGGGCGGTCAGCCTCCTGCAGCGTGTCCAACTGGAAGCCCTTTGCGATGGGTGTTCTGCCGCGCTGCTAGCGGGCTTATGTGGTCCCAGTGCGGCCTACGGCCAGCATGTGGCCAGGGCCCTGGAGAAGTCGATCCACCCGGCTCCGGGCTTCGGACATATCGTGCCCACTGGCGGGTGCGCGGTGGTGGAGCAAGCAGCCCCGGCCGCCAGCGGGCGCTTCCTTCGCCGGTGGTCGGCCCTGCTTCAAGGCCCTCCCATGCCGGACCCGGTCGGCTCCGGGCGTGCAGCTGGGTCTCTACTCTCGCAGTGCGTGCTCCCTTTCGCCTCCCCCCCCCCCCACAATACACCGGTTTTCTGTGGCTGACAGTCGCTTGCCCTCTCAAAATAACAGGCTCGTCGAACCGCAGGCCGTCCTATCCGCAGCGACCGGACGCTGTGGCACCATGGCCGATTATGTGCAGGATCTTGACTGGGCATACCGGTGTCACACGTATGAGCGCCTGACTCGCGGCAGTGCTACTGACGGTGTCACATCTTCGGCTTCTTCCGCCATTATGAATGAAGTAGCCGCAGCTTCCTCCGCGACTGGGGATGCCACTGCGGCGGCCACTTCCACGGCTGCCGGGTCGCTGGAGATTGCAGGCCCGGAGGGCCCTGGGACGGCATGCAGCGATCTCGCCACCGAGGGGGCGCCCCATCTTTTTGGGGATTCACTCGAGCTCATTATTGATCCTCGACTGCCGCCGGAGCTGGACCACCTGGCCGGTGATCCGACCCTGCGCCAGTTGCAGATGGCCTACATCGGGCGCCTGTCAGGAGTCGTGGCGGAGACGGTATGTATCTGTATGTGGCTTTCCCCCCTGCGCTTTGGTGGCTGATTCTAACGGGCCTCCCATGGATGTTTCTGCTGCCGGGTCTCATGCACAGTCGCTGCAAGCTTGTGTCAAGCTGTTGGAGTCCATCTCGCGCACCTCCTTCGATGTGAACGGCATCCTGCTGATGAGTGAGCCAGCCAGACAGCCAGCCTCCTTCCGGGAAATGCGCCATCGAGTGGCCGAGCGCCCGTCTCGTGGGGCTGGCGACGCGGCGCCCCTCCCAGCATCTTCCCTGCAAATGGCCCTCGCAGTTCGGTCCATGGTAAGACTGGTGTTGATGCAAGCCACCGGGGTGGGGTCCACAGTGTCGGCGGTGAGTCTGTCCAACTGGCCGGATTCCAGCCCGGGGCAGGACCACCATGGCATGCCACCGGAGGCGCTGGCCGCGGCCACCGTCGAGCGGAACCTGAAACGCACGTCGCGCGCCCGACGCCGGGTATGCCAGGCTCCCTCGGTGGCCGAGGCAGTGGAGGCCAAATACCAGCTGGCTGGCCGTCGAGCGGCCGGCTTTCTGCCGGCTCCGGCCCTGCGGCAAGTTGACCTGCCCCTGGGGCATTTGGTCGCTCCGGCCCTCAGCGCCGAGGCCACCTGGACTGATGCATCGCTGTGTGGCCGCGGCCTGGCCGAGGGCGGGCCAGTGTACCGACTCGCGCTGGGACCAGCCGACCCTCCCGTGGACTTCTCTGCAAGCCAAGTTGTAGCCTTGCAGAAGGAGCGCGAGTGCGTGCCTCTCTCGCTGGCTTTTTTTCTCCTCACACCTTTTTCCATGTTATCTTACTCTCGTCCCCCCCCCCCCCCCCCCTTTTCTCGACTCCATCCTCCCCCCCCCCCGCGTCGGCGTCTCTCCTCTCTAACGATCATTTCAGACTTCAGATCCAAGTTCTTCTTCACATTCTGGCCATTTCCATCGCTCTGACAATCGACCCCGATTTGGTGCTCGAGCTGCCTGGCGGCCCGGGAGCTCTGGAGGCGGCGACCACGGCCGCTGCGTCCTTGGCCGAAGGCCTCGGTGGCGGCATCGGTCGAGAGTTTGCTTCCTCATCGCCTCCGTCGGATTTCGGCCCACTCGATCCATTCTCAATGGCGGACTCGCCTCCTGTCGGGGGGGCGTTTTCCTTGCCATCCGGGGCATTTGGCAATGGCAGTCATGCTGGCGGTGGGCCTTTGGAAGTCTGCGGCATCGGAAGCGGCAGCCTCAGCGCCGCCTCCTCATCGCCACCCTCTTCGTTTTTGGTGGATCCCGCAGAGCTGGCCGCCCAGGCGGCCATCCGAGCGGCCAAGCGCCCCTCTCGTCGACGGACACACGGCCATCCTCTCCCTGGAAGCAACGCTCCCCGGGTGTCCGCTCTGCAGCTCGAGGTGGCTGAAGACTTCCAGCATCTCTTGCAGCTTCTTGACGCACTGAGTTCCTATGGCCATGAGACCTTTGTCCCGTCGGGGGAAAATTCCTCACGCCCGGTTTCTGGCGGCCTTCCGGGCCCTGGCGCCGCGGCGGGCCCCTCAACGCCTCCTCCACCAGATGTGGCTGCCGCCGCGGCTGCCGCCACCGCCGCGCTGGCCTCGCTGCCTAATGGCTTCGCCGGGGGTCTTGCCGGCTTCCTGGACGATGTTCTTCTGCCCCTGCTGGCCCTGTGCCAAGACACGGGGCTCGATCTTGTTGGGCTTCCCCGGTGGCTGTGCGATTTGGCCACCACTCTGGGTCCCAGGATGGGGTCCCCGTCCGGCACATTGGCGACCGCCATGGGGCTGGGGTCTTTGGCGTCGGCGTCCGCCTCGGCCTCCTCGGGGTCCCTCTTGCTGGTGGGATCAGGCTCCTCGACCATGCTCATGGGATCGGCCTCGTCAAGCCTGTCCATTGCGCCGTCATTGTCGTCGTCGTCGACGACGACGACGACGACGGTGACGACGATGGCGACGGCGGCGAGTTTGCAAGCTGCACCCGCCGCATCCGATGGCGGGCTGGTCAGCGAATGGGCATCGGTCCTGCGTGGGACATTGTCTTGCCTGGATCGCGAGGCTTTGCGCCGTCTTTTTGCCGAGCTCTTCCGGTATGTTGGTGCACATAGTCGTCGCTGGCCGGAGTTGGCCACGGTGGCTAGCGATGAAGAGAGCGACAGTGAGAGTCTCACTCTCATGGACCCACTTGGGGAAGCCCCCTCGACGCCGGTCGGCGCCATGGTAGGCCATTTGTCGGGGCCGCAGTTTGCGGGCCCCGAAGCTGCGAGTGGGATCCGCCACCCCGGCGGCGACAGTCACACGGCGGGGACCCCAAGTGGCCTGGTTCCCGGGCTGGTTCCCGGGCATTCCCCCTTCCACAGCCCGTCAATGTCCCTGACGCGCAGCGTGCTGATGCGCAAGCGCCGAGCCGAGACGCCGTTGTCGCGTCAGGCCGTGCGCGGGCGTCCTGCTGCCCTGGCGGACTCCGTAACCCCGGTGCCTCGAGCCGCCGGTGTCGGGCTGGGGATCGACAGGTCACCCTCGCTGCGTGGTGGCTTGCCAGGCCCCACGCCCCGGAAACGAGCCGCCCTACGCACTTCCTCCCTCTGTAACTTGGCTCTGGCGGCCAGTCCCTCGGCTGAGATGCTCGTGGCCGAGAGCGAGGCCGAAGGGATGACCCCGCCTGTGGGACCAGGCGCCCGGGGGCTCCTTTTCTCCGGCGCAGCGAGCCACCAACTGCGCTCGGTTCATGGTGCTGCCGGCGGCAGTGGGCATGGTGAGGGTGTCCTGCCTGGCGACCTCCTGGAAGGATACGACCACCAATCAGCCTTGCTTGTTGGGGAGAGCTCCCCACCCGGTCTGCCGGACGCCCTGACTGGTATGTAATTCGGCCCTTGGCACCTGGCACTATCTCCTTGACTGACACGGCTCCTGTTGATCGCAGTCCCGGCATCCCCCGGGACAAGTCCACCGGGAGCAAGTCGCCACACTCGACATGCCTCGGCCGAGGCTCCGGTCGCCTTCACATCGTCGCAGTTGTTGCCCTCCTGGGGACAACGCCCGGATGGGCCTCCAATGGGAAGTCATTCCTCCTCGACTGGGCCCTCGACCTATCCTCAAACGGGGCCAGGGCATCACCTGCACCTGGGCCCATCGGCTTTGGGCGAGGAAAGTGAGGAAGGATCTCTTGCCCGGATTTCATCTTCCCCCTCTGCCTCGCTGTGTGTTTCGCTGCACTCAAGTTCCAGTGTCCACTCCTTGGCCTCGGGGCCCTCCTCGGCAATTTGCTCTTCCTCCTCCTCGACGACCCAGCTTCACGAGATCCAGGTGCGCACATGCCCCCCCCCCTTGGGCATTGCCCCTAGCACGCTACTGCCCTGCCTCTTCCGTCCGATTGATTGTCACTCATGCTCACTCGCTCATCCCCCCTCCCCCCCCCGGATTTAGAATGCCTTCATCATGGGCGCTGAATTTGCCAGTTTTGTTGTGCCAGAAACCCCATAGAGGCCCAGTGTTGTGCATTTTGCAGCAGAAATATAGATCCATTGCCATGTGTGTACATGTGCACCTAGGTTTCGGTGAGTGTATATGCGCATGTGTGGATGTCACTGAATACGCCCACCCACCGACATGTGCATTTCTCCGACTCAGGCAGACATCTACATGCACAGTCTATTGGCCACACACATGTAACCATAGAGGGAGAGGGGGGCGGGGGGAAGCATGCCAGACAAAATAAAGGCAAGAACAAAGAAGGGGGGGGGGGGAGAGATGTGTTTGTTCATCAAGGGCGGAGAAACGGACGGCCCGTCCTTCCGGACTGGAAGACCTGAGGCGCGACCAGTACATGGTGATTTCGGCTGCAGGCGAGCGGCCCAAACAGGTTGAAAAAAAGAAGATGTGAAACGGCCACATGTGTGCACATGTGCACACAGCAGTAGGTTCTTTGATTGCCTCCCTCAAGAGTGTCCCATGCGCGCGCAGGCATGTCTATAAGAGGAGAGTGGGGGGGGGGGGGGAGGAGAGTGGGAGGCATGGCAGCAGGGAAGCCTCACAGCGAGGGTGGCATGGAAAGGGAGGGGGGGGAGAGGAGGAGGAGAGGGAAAGGAGGGAGCACGGCTGCAATTATGCAAGGCAGGAGCCACGGTAGGCCAGGCGGAAGACGGTAAAAGGGTGGCAGGCTTGCGCCCAGCGCGGCCGATCGTGGCCCTCACTTGGCAGGCGCCTCGATGGCTGTGAGCTCATGGAGGAGAGGCTTGTGAGGCCAGTTGGCAAAGGCGCGCGTCAGCTGGAAGAAGGCCTCAATGGAGATATGCGTCGGTGGCAGGGTCGGATCGATCAGCGGGCATTGCTCAAGGAGAGCCTCAGCACCGGGGCCAAGAGTACTGAAAGGCAGAACGGTCAGCAATTCGGGCGGGGCTTTGGCCGCGGTACAAGCAGAGAGGGGCATATGGCTGCACGTACGCAATCGAAAGGAGAATGGGATACGAGCGCTTGACGAAGAGCTGGCGCAGGATGAACTCATACTCGATGATGTTGACTGAGCGGCTTCGAGGTTAGACAGCATGTCGATGCGGCATGTAGCGCAGGGGCCCGAAGCAGTTGGAAAGTTGCCCCGGGAGGGGGAGAGGGAACGCACGATCGGTCGGGACATCAGCACGAGGAATCAACCGGATGAGTTCCATATTAACCGAGGCCTATCGGGAGGGAGGGGGGGAGGACGGGGCGGGGCCGGATGGAGGTTGGCATCAGACAAACAAAAGAGAAGAGGAAAAGACCATGACGTGTGTGTGAGCGGTGTTCTTGCGCACTTTCGAGGGAAGGAAGAAGTCCTGGGGCATGCTCATCAGATGGTCGAGATGGAAGAGGGTCTCCATCATGCAGGACATTTTCGAACGGGACCGGTGGCCAATTTGATAGGTAATGCGCTGGAGAAGGGGGAAAGAGGAAGGGGGAGAGGGAGATGGACAGATGCGCAAGAGCAAATAGCCAATCGGGAGGGAGGCGGAGAGAGGGAGAGAGAGAGAGAGAGAGAGAGAGGGAATAGCACGCCATCATGGAAGAATGTCAGTACACATGGAGGCGGTCCGTCCAAGACAGCAGCAGCATCACAGAAGGGCAGGACAAGAGCCAGGTCCAATCGGAGCCAATCAAAGGGGGTGGCTGTCACGCACCTGGAGTGCAGCCGCCGGAAGCAGGAAGTAGCTCTCCACGCGGCCGAGCTCAAAGTAGAGCGACCGCCAGAAGATGTTCTGCATCATGTTCGAGAGCAGATGCTCGTGGTGCCGACTGCCTATGGACCCGGTGAAGATGAGCCCCGGGCGACGGCCAGGAGGAGTGACCGAGGGGACACGCTCATGCATGGTGGTGAACTCGGCCTTGCCGAGAGGGGCACCCGGAGTGCCGGGTTCCGGAGTCACACCGGCCGCCTCGGCCAATCTGGCAGCCTCAGCCTCGGGCCCGGTGACCAGGTGCGGATACTGCAGGCCCTCGGACCAGGGGACCGGGGCCACCCGAGCCTGGATGCGTGTCAGGAGCACGTCGTCCAGAAGGCTGCCAGACATCAGATTCTTCGGCGAGATGATGGCCGGCTCGAAGCGCCCCTCGGTGGCCACCTGCATCAGGCGCAAGTCCTCGGCAAAGAGCTGTTCCTCTTCCACACCATACACCTTTTCCGCGCCGGCGACCAGCAGGGCCTCTGACAGGACGCCCGGGCCGGGGGCAATTTCCACCACAGTGGCTCCACGAATGTCCCCCATGAAGGAGACCACCTGCTGCGCGCGCAGTGGGCAGCACAGATACTCGGTGCCGGGAGAGGTGGCCATGTGGATGGCCATGACATATGCCCGATAGGCCAGGAATTGCCGAAGATGCTGAAGTCCCCGAGAGGCCGTGGAATCGTCGCTCAGGACGATGTTATTGCTGTCGGTGCCTGTCTGGCTGACCATCGCCATCTCCCCGGCCTCAAGCTGGTCGACATTCACGTCGAAGAGATGCAGGACGCTTCGCAGGACACGCTTCGACCGGCCGGCAAATGCGCCGGAGGCTCGGGTCGACTCGCGCGAGATGATGGCCTGGATGATGGAGGATGTGTCCGACAAGTTGGCCAGGCTGGCATTGCGTGTCCGACCAGCCTGGGCCTTGGTGCGAGTCTCCTCGGCATGGAGAGCCACGCCGGTGGCGGCGGCCTCCGGGTCAAAGGCAAGGCCCCCATTGGCCTCGAGGGCCGTGTTTAGGCTGCTCATGGCGGCTTCGGCCTTCTCCGTGGAACCAAGCAGCAGGGCCAGCTGCTGGGACAGGGTTGCCGGATCGGCGCGCGCCAATTCCGGACCCAGGGTCTTCAGCAGGGCCATGAGGTTCTCGCGGGATTCAGAGTCATCTTCGGCCACAGCGACAGCGACGGCGGTGGCGGCGCCAGTGGCCGCCAGGGTGGCGGTGCTGGTTTTGGTGCTCTTCTTGGTCGTCTTGCGCGGGGCGCGCGGAGTCTTGGCGGCCTTGGGAGCCTTGGGAGTCTTGGCAGCCTTGGTGGTCTTGGGGGTCTCGGCCGGGAAGATGGGAGGGTCGACCGGGGCCGGCTCGGCCGTGGAATATTGCCGAGTGGCAAAGAGGGCCGCCGGGCCGGCAAAAACAGGAGTGGGAAGGGTGCGCATCATCGCCGGCCGGGAGGCGCGAATGGCGGCCGGGACGGCAGAGCCGATGGTGTGGGTCGCCGGCAGCCGCGCCGCCGACGCCGCGCAGGAAGTGACCAAGAGACGGAGCATGGCCGAGCAGCAGGTCAAGAGTATGTGTGGGACGCGCGGGGGTCGAGATCACCTACCCATAGAAAATGGCTCCTGATGAGACGACCAAAATGGATAGGCACGAAGGGGACAGGGACGGTGGGGAAGGGGAGAAGCGGGGGGGGGGGGG